CTCTCTCTCTCTTCCCCTCCGTCTCTTCTCTCTCTCACACACACACCATATATATCTAAGTGTCTTAATTAAGGACCTCCAAGACAATTTGAAAGTGAGTTCACTTTGAGTTGCTTTTTAATTAAAAGCTTCCTGTGTTTTTGTCTTTATAACTTATAACATACAAGGCCTTCATTGGAATTAAGTTATCTCATAATAGTGTTGTGTTCATCTCTTTAATAACTGTAAGAATTATATTTTTACAGAAACATATCCATTTCAAGGGGAATTAATGTGCACAGTGAAATGAACTGCTCTGCAGCTTGTGTAAAAAGCAGGGTTGTCCATAATTTTAATCATTCCATTTATAAACTCATAAGAGCATATTGATTAACATTCTCGAGAAAATATGTTGGTCTGAAAATCAGAAACGACGGACTGTGTCTACAAAGAGAGTCCACATATCACCATAGTAAAGGTAAAGATTCCCTCGCACATACGTGCTAGTCGTTCCGAACTCTAGGGGGCGGTGCTCATCTTTGTTTCAAAGCCGAAGAGCCAGCGCTGTCCGAAGACGTCTCCGTGGTCATGTGGCCGGCATGACTCAACGCCAAAGGTGCACGGAGCACTGTTCCCTTCCCACCAAAGGTGGTCCCTATTTTTCTACTTGCATTTTTTACCTGCTTTCGAACTGCTAGGTTGGCAGAAGCTGGGACAAGTAACGGGAGCTCACCCCATTATGCGGCACTAGGGATTCGAACCGCTGAACTGCCGACCTTTCAATCGACAAGCTCAGCATCTTAGCCACTGAGCCACCGCGTCCCTCTACATATTACCATAGATATTCTAATTTAATACAGGTTTGTAGCTGGAAGCACACAAACCTGTATTATGGAAGCCATAACTTCCATTTTCTCAAGGAAGACTTATTATTAACCTCAATTACTTTCTAGATTTTACTCCTCTAATATGTTGGCTTGATCTAAGTCTTTGGGGTTGTTGTTTTTTTTTTTCATTCCTTACCTACAGGAAATATATATTATTGTCATTTGACATTCCCCTAAGTTTTCTGGAGATGCTCGATCTGCTTCATTTTTATTCTCAACTTCCTCCTTTATTCTTAGTTTTCAAATATTCCACACACACCTTTTCCTTTGAAACCCAAAAGATTTTCAGTGGCAATTTTAAGTTGTGCATGATTGAAATACTAACTTTAGTAACAATAAGGTTCAGCACTTAAATCTCAACCAACGTTGGCTCTGTCCGGTCCCAGGAACAATTATTATGAATCTAGAATTTCGAATTCATTGTTGTGTCTGGAGCACATGCTATATTTATCCAGTCTTTGTGTGAGTAACTGAAATTACACATTTCTGCAACAGCTTCCACTTTAGAAGCTTCACTGATTAAATTCTCCATCTGAAATCATCTCATTATTTCGGTAGGGAAAGCTGGTAATTTGTTCCCAGGGCGGTGTTGCATTTAGTAAATCCCTTTGTCCTATTAAAGCTAACATTGTTATTTTGATTCCTGTACCCTTTATATTTACACCAAGAATAGTCCCAGGCTTTTATTTTCACAGTCTCGGAGCAAAACAATTGCTGAAAATCAACAGCACAATTACCTTGCCAATTGAAGACCGACAAAGCACAACAATCTAATTTTTCTAATAACAATAGCACCTAGATTTATATGCCACTTCACAGTGCTTTTACAGCCCTCTCTAAGCAGTTTATAAAGTCAGCATATTTTCCCCAACAATCTGGGTCCTCATTTTATCGACTTCAGAAGGACAGAAGGCTGAGTCAACCTTGAGATGATCAGGATCAAACTGCTGGCAGTTGGCAGAATTAGCTTGAAATGCTGCATCCTAACCATGACTTAGATACCCTGTTTTCCCCAATATAAGACCTCCCCTGATAATAAGCCCAATCGGGCTTTTGAGTGCACGACAATAAGGCCAAGCGCTTATTTCACGGTTCAAAAAAATATAAGACAGGGTCTTATTTTTGGGGAAACACGATAGCAATAGCGAAGGAAGGAAGGAAGGAAGGAAGGAAGGAAGGAAGGAAGGAAGGAATAGCACTTAGACTTATATACCGCTTCATGGTGCTTTACAGCCCCTCTCTAAGCAGTTTACAGAGTCAGTCTGTTGACCCCATTTTGAGGTCTAGGTCCTCATTTTACTGACCTCAAAAGGATGGAAGGCTGAATCAGCCTTGAGCTGCTGAAAAGCGAACTGTCGAACTGCTGGCAGTCGGCAGTCAGCAGAAATAGCCGGCAGTAAGTGCATTCTAACCACTGTGCCACCATGACTCTGAACTCAAATGGAGTTCACATAGGTGCAAATAACACACATGCCCTTACAAACCCTACCCAATTCAACAAAAGAGAAAATGAAAAAGGGGAGGAAACTCCCAATCATGTTAACCTAACCTATCAAAGAGAAGAATTAGGGGGACATGATAATGATTTTTTTTTAAATGTTACCTAATTCTGGGTTTTATTTAATTGACCAAACTAAGTAATAATTTTAATTAGCAATTTTATGATGTTTGTGTGTCTATATTTTTCTTGACTGTACACTGCCTTGAGTCCTACGGGAGAAAGGCGGTATAGAAATATAATAAAATAAATAAATAAATAAATAAACAAATAAATAAATAAATAAATAAATAAATAAATAAATAAATAAATAAATAAATAACTGTCCTCCAGGACTTGAGAGGCTGTCACAGAGAAGAGGGGATTGACTTGTTCTCCAAAGCACCAGAGGGCAAGACAAGAAACCCGTCTTGACTACTGCAACCCGCTCTACATGGGGCTGCCCTTGAAGAGCATCCGGAAGCTCCAATTGGTGGAAAATGCAGAGGCCCGCATGGTTTTGTGCAGACCTCGGTGTGCACATATGTCACCTCTCCTGCAGGAGCTGCCTTAATTGCCGATTTGTTTCCGGGTGCAATTCAAAGGTGATGGTTGTGATCTTCATGGCTTGGGACCAGGTTATTTGAGGGACCATCTAGAAGGCCTCCAAGGTCCCTTCCAACTCTGTTGTTGTGTTAACATGGACCTCCAGATGCTTCCAGAACATTTGTTTTGTATGTACTCTGCCATTCCTAATGATCTGTGAATTGTTTGCTATACTTCAGATAAGGGGACGCGGTGGCTCAGTGGCTAAAATGCTGAGCTTGTCGATCGAAAGGTCGGCAGTTCAGCGGTTTGAATCCCTAGTGCCGCGTAATGGGGTGAGCTCCCGTGACTTGTCCCAGCGTCTGCCAACCTAGCACTTCGAAAGCACGTAAAAAAATGCAAGTAGAAAAATAGGTGGGAAGGGAACAGCGTTCCGTGCGCCTTTGGCGTTTAGTCATGCCGGCCACTTGACCACGGAGACGTCTTTGGACAGCGCTGGCTCTTCGGCTTTGAAACAGAGATGAGCGCCGCCCAATAGAGGTGGGAATGACTAGCACGTATGTGCGAGGGGAATCTTTACCTTTACTATGGTAATATGTGGACTCTCTTTATAGACGCAGTCCGTCATTTCTGATTTTCAGACCAACATATTTTCTCGAGAATGTTAATCAATATGCTCTTATGAGTTTATAAATGGAATGATTAAAATTATGGACAACCCTGCTTTTTACACAAGCTGCAGAGCAGTTCATTTCACTAATTCCCCTTGAAATGGATATGTTTCCGTAAAAATATAATTCTTACAGTTATTAAAGAGATGAACACAACACTATTATGAGATAACTTAATTCCAATAAAGGCCTTTGGCATTTAGACATGCCGGCCACGTGACCACGGAGACATCTTCGGACAGTGCTGGCTCTTTGGCTTTGAAACGGAGATGAGTACCGCCCCCTAGTGTCGAGAACGACTAGCACATATGTGTGAGAGGAACCTTTACCTTTTTATAACTTCAGACTGATGATGGTAACCAAAGTGATCAGTGAAAGTTATCTTCTGTTTTCTTTCCCACAGCACAATGCTATATGTCCACCAAGCGGGAAGACAAGGAAACCATCTATTACAAAAAATCCAAAAATTGTTGGGCTACCTTTAATACCAATTCAACACCACCAAAGTATCCCAAGAGCTAAAGCCAGCTTAGCAGAGGTAATAACAATAGCACTTAGTCTTATATACCGCTTCTCTAAGAGCCCTCTCTAATCGGTTTACAGAGTCAGCCTATCGCCCCCAACAATCTGAGTTCTCATTTTACCCGACCTCAGAAGGATGGAAGGATGAGTCAACCTAGAACTGGTCAGAATCGAACTCCTGGCAGTGAGCAGTGAATGAGCCTGCAATACTGCATTTTCACCACTGCGCCACCACTCCACCTTGTTATTAAAGAAGGAAATGTGTTACTTGGAAACCGATTCTGGACTTTGTGCTTGAGGTGGAAACAAAATTGAAACTTTGATTTTGGCTTTTACCGATCGGATAGATTTATTGTTATAGAAATGGCTAGTTTATACTATTATGCAAAGATAAAAAGTTGAAGTTGTCAGGGTTTCAACCAATGCTCTAATTAAATCATGAGCCTCGAGCCAAGCTTCAAAAGAAATCCAGTTATTTATTAGGAGCTTCATGTCGGCGCGTTCCAAGTGAAGCCAATTCTGACCCCTGTTTCCCCCCTCCCCCCAAGGTGTGTTATCAGTCACATTCTCCAAAGAAGCAATTTTGTGGGTTGTAGAGATCACTCCCCTCCAGCCACTGTGGGTTGCCGCGGAGATGACCTTGACAGAGATATGGCTGGAATGTGCTTTTGTTTTGACTGATGTGCTGCCTCACGGCAGCTGCAGAGTTTATTTTCCCATCCCCGTTGCCTATGGCAACTCGAGAGCAGGCCAGGGATGCTTTGCGAGTTGACAAAAGTTTAATGTTACTATCTTATTCTACTGCTCCAAAAGGAGTCGGAAGTCAACGTCTTTTCTTTCTTTTTTCCCCCTCTTTTCTACACTTTCCCCTTCCCTTTTCCCTCCCCTGTCTTTCCTATTATTTGCTCCTGTGTTTTTCTATTTTCTATTTAGTTTTATTAGTTTAAACTAATTAAAAAAGAAGGAAATATGTGATTAAATGTAATAATTAAAGAAAGACATATATCTGTAAACTAAAGAAGCTCATGTTAGGAAAATTTTGGTTTGTATTTAAAGCACAGGCATGCCACACCCACCAAGCCACACCCACAGAACCAGTAGTAAAAAAAATTGTAGTAAAAAAAATCCCATCTACCTACCTACCTACCTACCTACTTACCTACCAACCTACCTACCTACCTACCTACCTTATCTATCTATCTATCTATCTATCTATCTATCTATCTATCTATCTATCTATCTACCATGTTTCCCCGAAAATATGACCCTGTCTTATATTTTTTTGAACCCTGAAATAAGCTCTTGGCCTTATTGTTATGTGCTCAAAAGCCCAATTGGGCTTATTATCAGGGGATGTCTTATTTTGAGGGAAACAGGGTATCTATCTATCTATCTATCTATCTATCTATCTATCTATCTATCTAATTCCTTTATAAGAACTGAAACCCTTGGAGACCATCAGAAGGACTGAAGTCCCCAGAGATAGGCTACAAAGTTAATATGACTGATTCAGTCTTTAACTCTTTCTCCATCTTTGCCCAGAATTCAAAACTGGAACCGGAACGGGACTTAGCCGAAGAGAAGACCAGTTTAAAGGAACGAGTATCACGGGTTGTCCAACATAAAGAACGAAAGGAGGAAAAAATCTGGAACCAAGGAAGAAAGCATCGCAGCCTGATCTGTTTGGAGGACATGGCTGAAGATGTTGTGAACTTGGACCGCCGATCCTGCAAAGAATCCAAATCACCAAGGAGAAATGAGAGCAAAGCAAGAGAAACTCCCTTGGAATCTGAGAAGCAGCTGCCAGCAAATGTTCTTCACGAGCTCCATGCAGTCTTACAGAGGACCAGAGCTTTCCATGATGACACCTAGAAGCCCTTTAGATATGGACATCAAAGAAATGAATTATTTTAATGTACAGTGTACATACTTTCAATGTATTTAAATGTAAATGTTGAACTAAAAGAGATCAAGTGCTCTCTATCAATTTGGGAACCTTAATAATTTTGTATTGATATTTGCCCCTCTCATTATCTACATGTTGGTCAACTGTCTGTGGAGATTCTCAGTTGTCCAGATCATGGTTGTTCCAAAGGTGCTTTTTCAGAAGGCAACTGCAGTAGAGTAGAGTAGAGTAGAGTAGAGTAGAGTAGAGTAGAGTAGAGTTGAGTTGAATTGAATTTTATTGGCCAAGTGTGATTGGACGTACAAGGAAATTGTCTTGGTGCATACGCTCTCAGTGTACATAAAATGATGAAAAGATACGTTCATCAAGAATCATAAGGTACAACACTTAATGATAGTCTGGACTTTGTTCTTCCTTGAAGACGTTTCGCTTCTCATCCCAGAAGCTTCTTCTGTTCTTTAGAACTGTTCTTTAATTCTTTAGAACTGAAGAAGCTTCTGGAGTGAGAAGCAAAACCTCTTCAAGGAAAAACAAAGCCCAGTTGTCTTCCGAAAAAGCTCCTTTTTGGGATAATGTTGGTCAACATTTTTTCACCTAGATGGGAAAGTGGCAATCCATTGCTATTACCGAACGTCAACAAAAAGTATAGAAAAAAAAAATAGGACGTGAAAACAATTCAATAATATTGATACATCCTAGTCCGTCTGGCTTCTGTGCACACTCTGAAGATAACATGAGAGCAAATGGATAGCGAGATGGGCAGTGTATAAATTTAAAATAAATAAAATAAAAGATAAGGCATAATCATTTCCAATGGGCATTTATCTCACCGATATTTATCATCCAAGTGGGAAATCAGCAAATGGCTTTAGGTTTGACAATTCTGTTTTTGGTCAACCCTAGTCTACAACCGTTACGAGTTCAGTTTGTTTACAGTAGTGGCCAAGATTATGGAAACCTTTTGGGAAAAGTGTATTTTTCTAAAACTAGCTAATAACATCACTTTTTTTTGGATAGTACCATAAAATTATATATCAATGGAAAGATAATTTAACGAAGAAGGTAATGCAATAATTTTTATGAAGGATTTGCTATTAGAATAGCAGTTGCAGTATAAAGAAGAAAAGTGAAACACGTAGAAAAAATGAGATATACAAAAATTATCACCATTGAAAAAACGAGATATACAAAAATGATCCCCATGTCAGTGAATACTTAGTTGGGTAACCTTTAACATGAATTACGGCCTTACAATATCTTCCCATGGAGTGAACCGAGTCTTTTAGTTCTGCAGCTGTTCTCATGTGAAACCAAGATTGAAGGATGGCTTCTATTAACTGGGTTTTATTGCTTCTGACTAACAAGTTTCTTTAGTGGGCTCCATAGATTTTCAATGGGGTGAAGGTCTGGGCTATTCCCAGGCCATTCCAGCAGTGGAATAGGATTATCTTGAAACTCCAAAAAAAAAAAAAAAAAAGTGGTGTTATTAGCCATCAAACTTCGAAAATACACTTTTCCCAAAAGGTTTCCACAATTTTGGCCACTACTGTATACAGTCATAGACCAAAGATAGAATTTTAAAATACAAGGATTAAGTAATAAAAGAAGTGGAATGAAAGGATGGATGGACAAACGAAGAAATAGAAACAACAAGGTAATTTCAATTAGGTATTTTCCTAATCTGATTGCAGTTGGATTAAATTTAGTTACTTTGTGGAGAAAAAATAGGGAACTAATCTTGTTATTAACAAACACAGACATATACACATACATAAAATTCCTCTGTTTTCAGACTGGTCCATTTGCTCTGTGAATAAGATGGGAGAGGCAAAAAAGAGTCAATAGATTTGATTTAGAGGTGTAAACAAAACCGCTCTGTGAATAGGAAATAAGGATTCCTGGGAGAAAATAATATTGTTCAATATTTTTTACTTCCAGTGATTTTTTTTTTTATTTCCAGTGAAATAACAGCAAGACAGAATAACAGAGTTGGAAGGGAGCTTGGAGGTCTTCTAATGTAACCCCTCCTCAAGCAGGACAACCTATACCAGTGATGACTAATCTTTTTGCTATCACCTGCCAGGAGGGAGGGGGCTGGGGAGGTCACGCGCGCATGTGCCCACACCCATAATTCTATGTGTCCCATCCCTGCACATGTGCACATGACCCCCGCCCCCCACCCTCTCCCCACTCCCGACACGCGATGGCCTGGTAGGCCCGTTTCTCTCACCTGGCTCCAGAGCCTTTCTAGGAGACTGGGGAGGGTGAAAACAGCCTTCCCCACCCCCTTCCGGAGGCCCTCCGGAGGCCGAAAATGGTCCCATCGGAAGTTGGCAAATGGGCCATTTCTGGGCCTCTGGAGGGCCTCCAGGGGGGTGGGGAAAACCATTTTCACCCTCGCCAGACTCCTAGAGAGGCTCTGGAGGCTGGGGACAGCAAAAAACAGGCCTTCCGGTCCCACCAGAACTTGGCAAATAGGCCGTTTTCAGCCTCCGGGGGTGTGGGGAAGGCCGTTTTCACCCTCCCCAGAGTCCTAGAGGCGCTCTGGAGGCTGGGGACAGCAAAAAATGGGCCTTCTCCATCACCTCACAAGGGCCTCGGGAGGCAGGAAACAGCCTATTTCCCTACTTCTGGTGGGCCCAGAAGGACCAAAAATCAGCTGGCCGGCACACGCATGCGTGCCAAAGTTGAGCTCGCGTGCCAACTGATGGCTACACGTGCCACCTGTGGCACATGTGCCATAGGTTCATCATCACAGCCCTATACCATTTCAGAAAAACAGTTGTCCAATCTCTTAAAAGCAACTTCTGGAGATAAGCAGTTCCACCTATTAATTGTTCTCACTGTCAGGAAATTTCTCCTTAATTCCAGGTTGCTTCTCTCCTTGATGAGTTTCCATCCATTGTTTCTTGTCCTGCCTTCAGGTGCTTTGGAGAATAGGCTGGAAAATATATATTTTTTTGCTTGAAATACAGATTTACAAAACCTGACACTAAACGATACAATTTCTGCCTTCATGGTAAATCAATCTGACTTAAACTGACTCCCCCCAAAAAACACACAAAAAACCCCTGATTTAAATCTCATTCTTGACTCTTTCTGCTGGGAGAACCCAACCATGAACAAGTCAATGGGATTTATGCGTTATTTGTGGATTTTGAAATAATGCTGCTAGAACTATGCTGCTTTATTGCATTGTTCATTTGTTTTTGTTTTTTAATTTCTAGGTAACTGGTAGAATCAGGGAAGATCCACAGGAGTTTTGCGATAAATATAGTGTTAATTTATTGTACAGACAAATTTATTGTACATGTAAATTATCAATGCAGAAAGGGCAACGTCAGTTGGGTGGGGGATATCATCAGATCAAGTATGAATGCGTGAAATAAAAAGGATCTTGTTAAAGCTAAATTGTCTATCAGCAGCCGAAGGACACACTTCAATCCGACCCAATAGAAATCAAATAAAAACAAATAAATCAACTCCATGTGTCTCCATTCCTTCAATAAATGGTACATTTATTTGTAATGAATAGGCAACCTTCCATTACCGGTAGTCCTCGACTTATAACAGTTCATTTAGTGACCATTCAAAGCTACAACAGCACTTGAAAAAAGTGACTGATGATTTTTTTCACACTAGAGTAGAGTAGAATAGAATAGAAATAGAAATAATAGGAATAGAAATAGAAATAATAATAGAAATAGAAGAAATAGAAAATAGAAATAGAAATAGAAATAGTGGAGCAGAGGAGAGAGAGAAAAGAAGAGTAGAGTAGAATAGAATAGAAATAGGTAGAGTAGAGTAGAATAGTAATAGAAATAAAAGACATAGAACTAATAATAGAAATAGATATAGAAATAATAGAAATAGAAGAAATAGAAACAGAAATAATAGAAATTGAAGAAATAGAAATAGGGGAGGAGAGGAGAAGAGAGAAAAGAAGAGTAGAATAGAATAGAAATAGTAGAAGAGTAGAATAGAAATAGAAATAATAGAAATAGAAACAGAAAAAATAGAAATAGAAATAGAAGAAATAGAAATAGGGGAGGAGAGAGAGAAAAAAGAGTAGAATAGAATAGAAATAGGTAGAGTAGAGTAGAGTAGAAATAGAAATAATAGAAGAAATAGAAATAATAGAAATAATAGAAATAGAAAGAGGAGAGGAGAAAAGTAGAGTAGAATAGAAATAGAGTAAAATAGAAATAATAATAGAAATAGAAGAAATAGAAATACGGGAGGAGAAGAGGAAGAGGAAAGGAGAGAAAAGAAGAGTAGAATAGAATAGAAATAGGTTAGAGTAGAATAGAAATAGAAATAATAGAAATAGAAATAATAGAAATAGAAATAGAAATAGAAATAATAGAAATAGAAATAGAAGAAATAGAAATAATAGAAATAGGGAGGAGAGAGAAAGAGTAGAGTAGAAAAAATAGAAATAGAGTACAATAGAAATAGAAATAATAATAGAAGTAGAAATAATAGAAATAGGGGAGGGGAGGAGAGAGAGAGAGTTGGAATGGACCTTGTAAGTCTAGTCCAACCCCTGCTCAGGGAGGGAAACCCTATACCAGTGATGGCAAACCTTTTCGGCACTGAGTGCCAAAAAGGGAGCACATGCGCGCACACTCGTCTGGGCCACAACCCAGAAGAGGAGCTGCCCAAGGCACATGCGCGTGCCCAAAAATAAATTTCCGGTTTCCAGTGCACGCATACGCACTGGCCCGCTAGTCTTCTGGGTTTCTGGCGCACATGCGAACACAACGATCAGGTAGCCGGCGCACATGATCACACAGGAAAACAGAAGACCAGCTCTTCCAGTTTATGGCACTGCCGCATGCACGAAGGCCAGCTGTTTGTTGCGCGCCAAAAACCCGTAGGAGGAACGGGCGACACAACATGCGCCAGATGACATGGCTCCGTGTGCCACTTCGGGCACGCATGCCATAGAGTTCGCCATCACAGCCCTATACCATTTCAGACAAATGGTTGTCCAACCTCTTCTTAAAAACTTCCAGTGTTGGAGCATTCACAACTTCTGGAGGCAAGTCGTTCCACTGATTAATTGTTCTCACTG